GCGACCGTGGTTGAAGAAAGATTATCAACGACTGGAAAGAGTACAGGCGATGGCTACGAAGATGGTCAAGAATCTTCATCATTTGCCTTACGAAACCAGGCTGACTGAACTAAATCTGTTTCCTCTAAATTACAGGCAACTGAGCGGCGATCTCATTCAAACCTACAGGATTGTCAGAAGCCGTGAGTGTGCCCTAGATTTTGATGACTTCTTTGAATTGGCCCGGACTGACCGTCTGCGTGGTCATCCGTTCAAACTGCAAAGGAAGCGGGCTCATTCGGACGTCCGACGGAACGCCTTCTCACACAGGGTCATCGGGGCATGGAATGGACTCCCTGATGCCGTCGTTCTTTCCGAAAGTGTCAAATCCTTTAAGTGCAGACTAGACGCTCACTTGTTGAGAACCTACTGTACATACAATCATGATTGTTTTAGCGGCGGCAGTTTGCGCCTGGCTCACAGTTACCGCTAACTTCTTAACGTTTCGCATTTGCTGATGTAATTGATGACTCTATTTCTGTTTATCGACATGAATAGGGTGCTCAAGGGCGAAAGCCTCATGCCCTTAATAAACTGACTAAACTGACTATTCTGGCCGTTTCCGTCTGTTCTGGATACCTGGAGACATTTTTGTTCCCTAATTTACCATCTGGTCGCCACTCTTCTCGCATCAGACACATCTGACAACAGAGAAACTCGTCGTTCTGAGCCCAATGACGACCAATGACGAGGGCGATTGTTCAACTTTTGCGTCCTTATTTTCAGGCACTCTATCTCCTCCATTTCTAATAATTTTTGACTAATTCTCTATAGTTGATATCCTGTCAGCTAGGAGGTGAATTGATAGCAAAATATACAGAACTGTAATGGTTTTTACTCCGACTTATGTCTATTCAGAAGTCAATTGGTAATCATGGGTTCTTGGCAATTCATCATCAGGCCATTACAATTACGCAAAGAATTAACTTGTGAGCTATGGACAAGATTAATATGTGTTCCAGGAGAAGGGTTAGCCACACTCGTCGTTCCCACACCTCCTTCCTGCCGGGGTCAGTATGCTGAGGATGTCGTAGATGGGGTAGGTGGGGAAGGGGAGGGGTTTGGGGTAGCGTGCGAGTACTGTCCGTACGTCAAACATACGGAGTACGTGTGACTGTTCCCAGGAGATTTAGGCCGCATGCAACCACCGCTTGGTGTCGGCCAAGAAGGACAGACTGTCCGTATCAGCGTCTCCTGACAACAGAGCGCTAGATTCGCAGACCGAATCGTCGCTGCTGTGGTAGTTGCTAGATCCCGTTTGCATTTAATGAACTACCAAGAACATAGTTCGCCAACTAAATTTTTGACCATAACAAGACAATCTCCACAGAGTTTAGACAATGTTTATTTTTCACTTATTTTAGCCTGTCTGCCGGGTTTCGATAGTTCAGTGACCAACCTTATTGATCACGCCAGACACTTGACGGGATTCTATTCTGATATGCGGCGTTATTTTTGCACAATTCCCTTAAGGCGTATTTATTATTCTAACTAGAAGAATGTGGATGCGTTCAATGGTATAAAGCGATGTTTTTCAACTAGATAAATGGTAGAACGACCGACCATTCATGGAGCTGGAGAAGTCCGTCGAGCTGTCGGCAGAGAAGCTGTCGGAAGGGGCTTCGTTCGTTCTTTTGAAATTCCGTTGTAAATTTGTGAGGAGGAGAATACTGATGGTTCAAACCCTTTTTACACCAACGTCGGGTTGTAAGAGCGGCCAGTAAACCGGAATTTTAAAGAAGGTGAATTTGCCTCGGATTTAAAATTTGAGATTGAACTTCGAAATGCGTGTCTTGGAATATTCCTTACCGCCAGCAATAAGGACGACAAGGACAGTGGGTGATCCTTGTCCGAAACGTTCCTACGATTTCATTTTGGGGAAAAATTCATATTTTTCATAGAAGTAAAAGAAGCAATCAGGCGTTTTATCGATACTAGCATTGTACGTTGTGCACCGACCAAGTTTAGGAAACAGGATGTCATTTGAATTCGGTGAATGCACGCAAATTTCCAGCTGAGAATCCATATGTAGATAGGTTTGTATTCTACGATCGCGAATACGCGTACGTGCGAAAGTATGTTTAAAATATCGGTTGCATTATATTGTCTGTGTGGGCGTATGGACTGCAGGCGTTATTTTACAGAGGGGGGGCTGTCCCATAATCACGTCTTTCAGGACGAAGTATGACCACGAGCCCGTGCCTCTGCAGTCCCTAAGTTTTAAGTAGAACAGAGCAGCTTTCCAAGTGGTGGACTTTCACACACTATGTAGCCCCCGCCAAGAAGAAATTAGATGTGGATTCGTCGTGAACCTTCTCTGTATTGCGAGAACAAAACCGTATAATATGTTCTTTGTTTAAAAGAACTATGCAGAAGGAGGTCTTTTGAAGTTTCCATGACCTGTTGTCCGCGGTGAAGAAATTCAAGAAGGTTATTTATTGTAGTGAATCTGTTCAGGTTGCAGGCCTCTTTCACGAGCTCTAAAAGGAAGCTGAGCCTCAGACTGTGGACAAGTCGCTCCCGCATCGAGAGGTTGACGTGCCGACATGTGTACTTCGTTTTTATTATGGGCGAAGGTTTTTCAGCCTTGATTTGAGAAAAACGTCGACGTAAGCAGTTGATGCGAATTTAGAACCATGTAGGTTACTGAAGTTCGGCTGCAGGATGCATGTTACGACGATAAATCCCGAGGATAAACTGCTTTTAAAGGTGCTTAATTTGCGCCACAATAGTATTTCCAGTAAGAAGACGGCGACCGCCTACTCCCATTCCCGTCGGCCGGCTTTTGGCCAAGGGTAAAATCTGTTGAACGCTGAACAATGTCTGCCTACTTGTTCTAAAATTCACTAAGAAATTTACTTTGACTTACTATGAAAGTGCCCCTGGGTGTAGTTAATAAAACAATTTATTTATCATGTCAGTTGGCTCTACTTTAAGTTTTCAGATGCAAATTTGCCTACTTGCGGCTCATTATCAAAATCTGAATGCTGATCCCGCTGTAATGGAAGAGAACGGAGCAGCAATTAAACGTAGCCACCAAGCATTTCTAACCCAAGTTTACAAAAAAACGGCCCTGACTTTACTCGTCCTAACCTAGTCCCCAGATGGCAGACACACATTACACGGTTCTGTTTATTAAGCAGCTTTTAGTAACAGGCTGTGTCGTGTAGATAAGGGAAGGCCTTACAAGAGTGCATCTCAGATACTACTTCATCCACGCGGATGGGTCAGGGGTCCGGTTTGCTTAATATGCCCACTTTGGCGAAATCTCGAAGAATACAATTCTAGGGTGGTGGATCCGGAGAACCATCATGAAAGTTCATATCAGAAACAAATTGCGATAAAAAGGGATATCATCGCAAATTAAATGCTAGGTTAAGGAACTAACATCGTAATCTCGATCATAATTGGGTCTAAGGAAGTAGGATTTACTTCTCACCCAAAATGACACTGCATATTACTCTGAAGCAACAATACAGGAAAGGACTACAACACCTTTGACGTTCAACGATTCCATCGTTTGCACTGAGATCCTCAAACTTGCATCGGCTGTTAATTAAATATTTGACGTTCGCTTCGGCAAGCAAGGCTTAAGCATTAGGGCGGCCCCGGGGTCGCAAGCGTCGCGGACTCTCAACCTAAACATTCCATCATCTTCAATATGTCCGCGCTGTTAACGGACATTTCATGCGCGCATCGGTGTCCTCAAACATCTCTGGAACTCACGCAACAAAAGCAGAACTCCACCTATTACCTCCGAAAACGCCTCCGCCACCACCGCTTGCCGCAACTCCTACGACAGAGACCACAACAGATGGGCGAACTCCCGGCGTCCCACCGCCGCCGTCCACCATCATACCCATCGTTACAGCCACACCCCCACGAAGACCACGGCAACGACGACGACTGTCACCCCTTCCATCCCACTACCGATGAGAACACTCCCGACGCCCCAACAGCCACCACCGCCGCCCACCACGAGTAATGCGGACTCGCACGAACCTGTCCTCACTGCAATCGTGCTTTCACACCACGAATCAGAACAGTCGGTCAATTGAAAATCCATCGCACTGACATTGGCGAACCAGTGCCCAGTACCCCTCGCATCCGCCTCAACTGCCCAAGCATATTCAATCATCATATGGATTTTTTCGGCCACGTGCGCACCCACAACGACTGCATTCATCGTAACGTCAGCATGCCAAACTCACCTCACACACACCCGACAAATTTCCCCTCTCCGGCACTGACAAGTCGCCCCCTGCCAGCGTTGTTATCGCTGACAACATAACCATCAGCACAACAGCTACCAGTCTGCCCAACCAATAGTGCCATGGCACATACACACTATGCATCGGCCAGGTCGGTCATCTGCGAATCCATCGAACTAAGACTGACTAATCGGCGCCAGGTACAGCAGCGTACGTCCACCACCCAGGCTTCAACTACCCACATCGTCCACGAGCATTCAATCATCGTATAGGCCTACTCGACCACATGTTCATTCATCAAAATCTGCGGCAAGCAACACAAATCAAATCTCATGAACATACATCTGTAGCGAGGTACCAGACTAATTCACCTCTGACAATCTAGTCTAGCCCTATTTTACCGGATTGTTTATTTGAAGTTGACGGAAACTACACACCTGGACAACCCCCCGCTTCGCCGGCGTGTTCCGCTGTCGTGCTCTGCTCTCAGGCCATCGTATGTTCTGAATACCAATATTATGCACTAACCGGTTTTACATACTGCTTTAAATAATTAGGGTTTCGTGAGGTATTATTCGTTTATCTGTGAGAACATTGTCATCTATGTCACGTCTCCTCAGCTATACGTACACCACGCATGAACCCGTTCCACACCATTTACCACAGGAACAGAATAGATAGTTCTTGCATAAGTGAGAAGCGTGTTCTCTAGCTCCTCCTTGATGCGACCTCTGGAAAGCTCTCACGCATCGAGATGCGGACCGTCCAGCCTCTTGTGTGAAAAGCTACTGTGTCGTGCGGGGCGGGCCACGCGTGTGGCACGCGTAGACGGACGGTTCTGTCCCATCAATACTTGCTTCCAATCTCCGCATAAGTTTGTGGGCCGTCTCGGACAGTTGACTGATCCACGAGAGAGGGGGCAGAGAATGAAATCAACCATGAGGACTCCGTACCCGCGGCACCTCAGCACATTCCTCGCTATAATGAGTCGGACGCAATTGTTCCATCACGACGCCTTAAATGTCGTGGACTGGAAGGTTATCAACTGATGATACATTCAGTTCTTACAGACAGCCTTGTGTGCGTGGGGTGTAGGGGTGTCCAGTTGTGGGTCCATGCGGGGGTCGTGATAGGTCGTTCACACGCTTGCAGGTTTTGACCACACCTAGCATCCATTGACTGACGCCCAAGTCTTACATTTGGCTCCTCGAAATCAGACTCCATCTAGCGGCCACACTCCGGTAACCGCCTCGACCGGCGGGCTAAACCAAGTGAGGGTATCTGCGTATCTTCACACACGATAATTCCACTCCCCTCCCCCCACCGCTGGCCGTACGGATCACCAAATCGGCATCTCCAAGATGGGGCTCCACTCGCAACCTCACTGGAGGTCAAAAGGTAAATGATCCCCGGGTAAGCTGAATACCACTTGGCTGTCTCTGCCTGCTCACTCTTGCAGTTCAAACAAGAAACGATACTCTTTCCCATTCCTCCTCATCCTCCTTCCTGTCTTCCCACCCCACAGGCTACTAGCGTGAGCTCGCTCACTCTGGCAGTCTGGAATGTTCGTTCCCTTTTAGACGGTTCCCGGAGCAACCGACCTGAACTAAGGACGGCGCAAGTGGCTCGGGGGTTTACGCGCTTCAAGGTGGACATCGCTGCACTCAAGGAGACTTGCTTTTCTGTGCAAGGCCAACTGGAAGAGGTGGGTGCCGATTACATCTTCCTCTGTGCCGGCCGCCCCAAGGCAGAACGACGGGATGCGGGTGCCGCTTCTACCATCGGGGACGACATCGTGGGACGACTGCCCTGTCTGCCTTAGGGTATCAACGATCGCCTGATGAGTCTCCGCCTGCCTCTACGGGAAAGCTAATTCGCAACCATCATCAGCGTCTACGCTCCCACGAGTACCAGCTCTGACGTGTCAAGGAGCAAATTCTGCGAGCGTCTGCACGCCCTTCTGGCGACTGTGCCGAAGGCGGATAAGTTTATTGTCCTTGGTGACTTTAACGACCGCATTGGCACAGATCATGCTGCCTGGAGGGGAGCGCTGAGTTCCCACAGTCTCGGCAGCTCCAATGACAATGGCCTGCTCCTCCTAAGAACCTGCGCAGACCAGCACTTTCCGTTTACCGACGCAGAAGACGACCTGGCTGCACCCTCAGCCGCGACATTGGCACCTGCTGGACTATGTTCTCGTCCAGAGGAAAGACCAGTGGGATGTGCCGGAGACAAAGGCGATCCCGAATGCCGACGGGTGAACCGACTATCGACTCGTCATCTCCAAGATGCGGATTCGCCCACGGCCGCTGACAAGAACTCCCCTGTAGAGAACCGATGGTTTCAAATGAGAGACACAGTCCAGCTAGCCGCCCTGGCTGTCCTCGGTAGCGCACATCGTCAGCGACAGGACTGGTTCGACAACAACGTCGCTATCGGCAATCTGCTCGCTGAGAAGAATTGCCTGCACAAAGCCTACTTCAACCGCCCTACCGACGACAAAAACAGCCTTCTACCATAGTCGCCGCCTTGTGCAACAGCGGCTGCGAGAGATGCAGGACGCTTGGACGGCTCCCAAGGTCAATGAGATCCAAGGGCACGCGGGCCGCATCGAATGAAGGAACTTTTCGCTGCGATCAAGGCTGTCTAAGGCTCCACAGCCAAAGAGACCGCTCCTGTTCTCAGTGCTGACGGAACTACCATATTTACTTATAAAACACAAATTCTGAAGCGATTTTTGAACACTTCAGAGGCTTCCTTAACCGCCCCTCCACCATCTCCGACGCCGCCATCGCCTGTCTGCCTTAAGTGGAGACCAGCACTGACCTCGACCTCCCGCCTTCTCTCCACGAAGCCATCAGGGTCGTGCAGCAGCCCTCCAACAAAAAGCACCCGGAACGGACGCGATCCCTGATGATGTCTACAAACATGCTGGCCCCTAACTTATGGAACACCTGGTGGCTCTTTTCCAGGAGATAAGACGTCAAGGAGAAGTCCTCCAGGATCTTAAGAACGTCACAATTGTCTATCTCTGCTGACGGAGGTGAAACTGCTAACTGCTAACCACAGAGACATCGCCCTGCTGAACATTGCCGGAAAGATCTTCGTTCGTATTCTTCTTAACCATCTCAATAACCATCTGGAACAGGGTCTCCTGTCGGAAAGCCAGTACGGCGTCCGCCGTCATCGCGGCACCACAGACATAATTTTCGCTGCCCGCCAACTGCATGAGTAGCGTCAAGGGATGTGTGTTCGCCTCTACCTTCGTAGATGTGACGAAAGCCCTCGACACGGTCAATGGTGAAGAACTATTGAAAGTCATGCAGAAATTTGACCGTCCCGAGAAATTCACTCAGATGGTGCGTCAGCTCCCCGATGGCATTACGGCACGCGTCACGGACAATGGAGCTGTCTCAGAAGCACTCTCAGTAGCCAACAGAGTGAAGTGGGGCTGTGTCATCACGCCCACTCTCTTCATTCTCATGTTCACTGCCACGCTAATGGAGTCTACCGTGAGGAACGCTCCGAGATCCGTGTCGCCTACAGGACGGACGGTCAACTTCTCAATCAGCGGCAGATGCACCTCCAGTCGGATGCATCCACAACTGCCGTCCGTGAACTTCTCTTCGCCGACGACTGCGCCCTCAACGTCACTACTGAAGGGGACGTGCAAAGGAGCATGGGCCTCTTCACCGTCGCCTGCGACAACTTCGGTATGATGATCAACACGGAGAAGACGGTGGTTATGCATTAACCGCCACCCTACACGACCTACGTCGCATCCCAAATCAAAGTGAACGGCACCCTGCTGCAAGCCGTGGACGACTTCACCTACCTGGACAGCACCCTCTCTCGCAATATCAAAGTCGGCGACGAAGTGGCCCGCCGGACCTCCAAAGCCAAGCAAGCGTTAGTCTGTCTGCAAAACACAGTTTGGAATCAACACGGTCTCTGCCTCGGCACCAAGCTGACGATTTGCAAAGCAGTCATCCTACCGAAGCTGCTGTATGTAACGGAGACCTGGACGGCGTACAAGAAGCAGGCTCGAAGAATCAACCATTTCCATCTCACGTGTCTCCGACGGATAATGAAGCTGAGGTGGCAGGACCGGATATCCGACACGAACGTACTGGAACGGACGGAAATCCTCACCATCTGCATCATGCCGAGACAACTGCAACTGCGTTGGAGAGGCCATCTCGCGCGAGCGGTTGCCCAAGCGGCTCTTCTATAGAGATGTCGTCGCGGGTTCCTGTCGACAAGGAGGTCCATTACGTCGTTACATGGACATTCTGAAGACTCCCTTGAAGCGCCTGCATAGCAGCCCGATTAACTTGGAAGGCATCGCCCGGAATCGACCGGTCTTGAGGAGAACAGTGAAGACAGGCAGAATTGACCGCAGTCTCGCGAACCATTGTCTAGGGCACCCGCATACACTCGTCGCATCCGCCTCAGCTGCCCTCACTGCACCCGCACATTCACTCACCGCATAGATCTATTAGGCTACATGCGCATTCACGAAAACCTGCGGTAGACAACTGCCGGCTACACCACACCGTCTCACCTCCCAGCCAACACCCGCACCACATATCATCATCATCCGTCGCAAGCACTCAACTGCCACCTCCCATGCACGTGGAAAGTGTTCGTCTCGACTCCGGCTCCATGCGGCTCCTGTGATGCATGTGTGAGCCGAGTCCGAGACTATCAAGGCGCGTCAGGCGCCGTAGCTTGGAAGGCTTCTGACTGACGCTCAAACGCACTCCACGCAGTCTGCCCAGTTGTGTGCGTGTTTTTGTGGAGCGGCGCACCGGTGAGGTGAGGGCCAGGTTGAAACGGCTCTTTCTTAACGTGACGTAAAGAACTCTCACTCATGTGAGATGTGTGCCGCTCAACACCAGTTGTGTTAAATCATGGTGCCTGTTTAGCGGGGGGTAGCAGGTCGTGCATGTGCACCGCACAGCCAAGGTCACTGGCTATTTCAGCCACCGCGCCCATTTTCCGCACCTGTCGACTAACCAGCTCGGACAGTGATCGGGGCTTGGGAGTGGGAAGGGAGATTGAGGTTTACAACCCAGAGCATTTTCCTCACTTTAAACAATATGGCGTACTTGAGGCTATCACAGTGCGCTAGAAGTCGTGGCTTGGCAGGTTGCCAACTGACGGGATAACTTTGACCTCGCAGTCTGCCCAGTGTGTGTTTGTGTGGAGCGGTCGACCGGTGGTCTGAGAGTCAGGCTACAATGGTTCCTTCTTAATGTGGACCTTATGGCACTCCCACTCCGTGGGATCCGAGTCGGGTGTGGCGGCATCAGAAGAAGAAGATGTGGTCACTAGGACAAGAAGTTTTTGGCTTGACGTTTCGGATTTTCACTTGAACTCATCATCAGAGACGGCAGCAATCTCTTTGAGCGCGTTTCGCTTCGATCGGCTCGACAGTGGGAAACATTTGTCCCTCGTGAGTCGTCTAAATATGTGGCGGCATGCCTGGGTGCGGCTCGCGCCGTGCGAACACCTTTAGTTGTTGCTTAGAATCCTGGTCATCTGCTGTGTGCACCAGGGGGTGTTGAGAGGAGCACCAGGGTACGGGCCCGACCATGCCATCCACCTGCAGCCTCCCCCGCCTCCGGTCTTCTTGACTCTGTCTTGACACCGGCCCAGGTTGGGGAGGGGGAGAGAGCATGGTAAATGCTGCGCAAGTCTACACTCACTATGAACTAACTCACGCGCAAGTCACCGCGCCTGCTGTGGAGCACATGATGGATATCGTCAGAAACGACGATCAGCGTGTCGTGCGTGTGTATCGAGTGATTGACTAGTGAACTGAGAGTCGGGCTCAGTGGCTCCCCTTAGTCGGGTTTACATGACCCACTCATATGTGCGAGGTCTGAGTGGTCCACCCCTTCGTCCGAAAACTTGGTGCTTGGGGAGGGGCAGGTTGCGCATGGCACGCGTAGACAGGTTATCTAGCCTTCTCAGCAATTGCATCCGATTCCCACTCTGGTCTTCCTAACTCTATCATGACACCTAACCTGGGTGAATGGGGAGTAGGGGGCGTGGTAACTGCAGCGTAAGTCTACCTGCACTATAAATGAATTTACATACAAGTCACCGTCCCTGCGCCCGCCATGCCGCGGGCACACGGTGCACATTGTCGTTCACGACAATCGAATTGACATGAAATGCCATTCCTTAAGTTCCGAATGTTGAGCGGCTGCAGTTCATGTGTCTATCAAAAAATATTGGAGTCAGTCGCATGAAGATGGAAGTATTGCGTCAACTTATGTGAACCGAATCGGATACGCGCGCTCACACTTCAAGAAATCGGCGATGAGCTATACGAACTATCATCATTTATGTTTCAGGTGTCCCTCAGAGAGGGAGGATTGTCAACAATGAAAAGACTGCATTTAGTTCCCGATCCACAGAGGAGGGTATCAACCTAGGTCAGAGAATTACCGTTTAGTCTGTGTACTTTCATTTGGTGAAAAGTTGTGACGCGCACTATGCGGAAATTCAGTCACATATCTGGATGGATGCAATTTGTTGGGCGTCGACCTGAATGGCCTACGTTGAGGTCGTTCTTGTTAGGGACCGTTATTTAGTCTCAAGGGCAAGGGGGATAGATTATAGAAAAAGGCTATTCAGTAAATGCAATCTCTTTGAATCTTCTACATTTATGTCGATGACTGCGCTAGATTGCTAGATTGTGAGGCCTCCGCATCCTCAGATGACATATGGGCACACATTAATGCCAAGGGAACGGAGGACAAAAAATTGCTACTAAGCATTAAAAACCTGAGTGTTTGACAGAGTGAGTGTCCATTAGAATCCAGCGTTTTGAAAGGTGCAGTCTTACGCCCGAACGCAAGTCGGGAGTGCCTCCCACAACATTCAAATTCCATTCATGGGACTTCATTGCAAAATGGGGAGATGCACATAGATCCGGGTACCTGCGCTGCAAAATTAACGCTGTCAAAACGTCCTGGAATTTTTCTCAGAATACAGCTTGTGCGGCAAAATCTGATGCGCACCTGGCTTATTCTCACTGGGACCCTGCGAGAGGATCTGTAGTGTTTCGTTACGCCCATATTTGGCTGACTGAGTGCCGGACTGTGCGCCATGGATGAGGGAATGCATTGGCTAACTTGAGCAAGGGTAACATGCTGATAAAAATGGTAGGCGGCCTTAGAAATCTGGAGCATGTAAAGGATCAAGTTTGCCTTGCTGCGTCTAATAGACAACCAAGATGAAACCTGATTTGGCATCCCGGATTGTCTGAATACACGGCCGCTCGCTTGAGAAGCGAGCTTTTTGAGCTTGAAGATAAAAACCGTCTACTCGGTCATCCACGTAAAATCAAACTGGAACGTACGCGGCAGACCATCCTTCAGACTGAATATCGGCCCTCGTCGCTCATTTTCCTGGATCTTTGTGGCTAACGATGCTCCTCGTGCAGTCTTCGGCTTGAACATTCTAGTCGAGTTTTATCTCCTAGTGGACTGCCGGCGCACCCGACTGCTTGACCGTACGACTGGTCTATCTGTTTGCAGGTCGACTCCCTTCATAACCTCCTGCAGCTTATCTTCTTTAGACCCAGATATCGCTTGTCGTTATTGGAAGCTCCTCCCCAACGCCCTTACACCATCAGCCACCAGTTCCTCAGTTCGGGAATCCAAGATGAGTTTGTACACCACATCCGCACCTCAAGCCTTCCGGTGTGCCCTCGGCCTAGACGAATGGTTCCAACCCGCCTGCAGACCGCGAAGGCGAAGCCTGCACATGTTGCAAATGGGCATCATTCGACCATCAGAGAACTCGTCGGCGTTTCCTCTGCACATGGTGCCCAAGGCGACGTCGCGACTGGCGACCCCGTGGCGACAACCGTGCACTCAACAACGCCACGATTATCGATCGGCACTCGGTGCCTAGTTGTCGGCGTATTTCAGCTATCAGCGACCCGAATACCAGGCATCAAGCAATTATTGCGCCAAAGGGCAACCACCCTCAATAGAGGTGTTAATTGTCATTGGTATGCGACAGCATCCTATAAAGACTGCAACTCTTTGCGTATGAATTACCCTTATCTGATGCGGTCTCTGGTGATGGGTTCTAGCGTAAATATGAAACGTCAGGCTAATAAAGTTCCTGTTCTATCGACCGCGTTTGCTTTTTATAAACAGCCACCTGGGGCTCGCATCGTCGCTTGTATCGGCTTCAGGACCTCGCTGAAGCCCTTTTTGGAAAAGCAATTTCGTCGAAGATCGAGCTGGTGAGCATCTTCTGCCAGATATCTGTCGTACTACAGTTTCTTTCACTGATTCGCTGCAGACTGATGAAGCACAGGCGCATGCGCCGAGGCCCAAAAATCTTAACGGCACACTCACTTCGCTGGCGAGAAGACTTGCTGCCACTGCTTGACGAGCTTCGTTTATACGCTTGCCGCAGTAGTGTTTGGCCACTAATTCGGTTTTCCCTGCCTTGTGATTTGGGAACCTGCAAGTTGTCGCCAATCGTATTTCGACAGACCTGCTCCCCGCTAACAATTGGTCCCATTCTAGGTGCTATTAGGGCCGTATATTTCTACATGTTCGTTTACTAAACGATGGGTAAACTATTTTTAGAGCAAAATCCACGTATATGATCATATGTTCTTGACTGACTGCGCAGAAGACAACTTGGCCACCACAATCCCCCTTTGTATCAAAGAAGTATAAGAAGCTGACGTAATGAATCTGAAATCCAGACAAGGATACAGGCGACAGTATGAGTAATTACGTTTGTGAAATTCCTGGCTGTGAGAGCATCACAGTTTTGCGTGGAGCGGAGTCATGGTCACATTTTCGACCGGTTTCATCTTTACCATTCGTACTCTTCCCGTCCGTCATAAAAATTCGCTAGTCAGTAGGCGGTCCTTTGGCGTCAAATGTCGGAACCATCTGATCATCTTTACAGAGCTACCGTCAGTTCCTATCACACACTGACGACTTAAAGAAGTCTAACTGAATGCACTGCGCAGTATAGGATCAGAATGGTATGCTAACGATGGCACTGATGCTTTGTCCTCGGCTGACAAGGCGGGGGGGGGGAGCACAGTGTAGTTTTGACAAAAATTCAATTGCAGACCCCCGTGAAGGATACATGTAGTAAATGACCCCCTCAAACTGTTTTATTGGCTGATGCGAGCCAAAGCAGAGAGGAGCAAATCAAAAGAAATTCAAGCCCGGAACTCAA